CGATACACTACTAGGGTATCAATACACAAATTAAATTCGATGTTTCCAAGTATCGATACCTATGGTATCGATACTACCCCTTTCGGTATTGATACCTCAAGAAGATGTTCATCTAAAATGGTCTTAGGGTATCGGTACTTGTTCATCAAGTACCGATACCCCTTGCCCAGAACAGACTACTTCACCCAAAAAAATCATTAACTCTTCACTAAATTTCAATATATAAAGCTTATTTCATACCACAAGCTCAACTCAATTACTTTAACTATCATTTATCTTCTTAACACCCTATAAACTTAACCCTCTCATTCCAATTCTTGAAATTAAGAAATTTACTAAATTTTCCATGTAATCCAAACTTAGTTCTAACACTTATTATTTCTTGTTCACACCTATGACAAGTCAAATTCAGCTTCTAAATTCAATTAAGTCTTCTTATTCAAATTTTCACTTATGCACTTCTTATATTCAATCCTCCATAACTTACAACTCATTGAGTTTCTATGCCCCTTTTTATCTCCATCACCTTTCCTAAGGCCTCATTAACCAAAACCACACTTGAATCTTAAGGATTAACCAAAAGAAAACCAACTCACCTTAGCTTATGTGCTTCACGATTGGAGAAGAAGAAGGTTGAAGAAGAGTTATCTGGAAACCTTTATTTCCTACACATCACGTAGGTATTAAAAGAACCATAAAAAATTTTAATTATTTCCCTTGTTCAATGACCTATTTGCCCCTTTATTTCTCCTTCATTTTCTAAATCATCCTGCACAAAATATTTCAATTCAGTCATTAAACCTTTCAATTTATCTAATTTGGTCACTGAATTTTAAAATCTCTCAATTTGGTCACTAACCCAGTATTGAGAATGTTACAATACTTACATTGGAGTTGGTGTCCACTTTAATATCAGTTGTAACATTCTTGTTCTTCAGATGGGTGTTAACATCAGCTACAAATCAAAACTTGGTTCTCACAAAGCATAGCAACTAAAATCAATTTCTTATATAACAAAATCTACATAGAAATAAAAAAGATAAATCCAGAAAATAAAAAAATTAACCCCCAACGAAAAAGAAAAAAAATATTAAGAACTTACAACTTCAGTGGGAGAGCTAGTAGTTAGAGTGAACTTTTGGTCAGTCTGATAGTCCTTGTAAAGAAGGTATATAAAACCCAAAAAATGAACATAAACATAAATATTACATCTTTGAAGTTTCAAATAGGTATGAAAGATACGAAATTTATGCTAAAAAATAAATCGTATTTTTATACCTCTGGATGGATGATATGCAGAACAAGTTTTTAGATAGTAATCATACTACGACATGTGCTAATTCTATGAATATAATTATATTTATCAAGATTATCAAAGTGGGAAAAAATCTATATCTACAGCTAGATTTAAACATCACATGCTTCTGACATCATTAAAAGGAAAAAATAGTCATCAACACCAATATTTCATACTAACAAAGGGAAAGAATGGGGAAAATAGAATAATGTATGAATTAGCAAGTTGCTGTAAATAGATAGAATGGCACCGTTCAGCTGAAAAAAGAAACTAAAAACAAAAAAGGAATCATTCGAAAGTGTGTAAATAACAAAAACCAAGCAACTCATAAAAAAAGGCGAATAAATTATAGAGTGAATAAAAGAGAACATGTGTAGAGATTATACCTGTGAAAATGGTGAAATTTGCACCTCAAATAAGATATTCGAGCATTGATGGCGTAACGTTGGAGGCCTCAACAGCTTCACGTGACGACGAGCAGCAACAGTTTTCCGTGGGTATTTTGGTATGTCCGGTGGAGATAGGAAATAGGAAAAAGGGATTGTGGGAATAGATGAAAAACAGGAAAGGGTTTCGCACAATTAAAATTTTACAACACTATGGCGTTTGTGTCAACAAATGCCACCATTTATCATTTTATAGCGGCGACTTCTAAAAAATGCCGCTAAAGTACATGTTTTTTTCGCGGCATTTGCTAGAAAACCCCACTAAAGTACTTATCTGTAGCAATGTTTGTGAAATAAACGCCACTAAAGTACTAGATTTAACGGCGTTTTTTCTAAAAATGCCACAATATATGTATCCTATTGCGGCGTTTACTTAAAAAGGTCACTAAAGTACTTAAATATTGCGGCGTTTGTGAAATAAAAGCAACTAAAGTAGTAGGATGCAATATAAATCAAGAATTTCATTATGAATCACATCATGAGACTGGTAATCTTCCAAAAATTTAGTCCTCTTAAATTACTTTCGATTTGGTTCTATTATTGTAATGTTTAAGAGGTTTAAGCTCATTAAACGAGGACTTCAAGCAATGGTCGTAAGTGATGAATGAGGTTCTTATAAAGAGGATGACACGAGAAATGCGAACTTTGTGAAAGAGAAGATTGTGAGTGATGATTAGTGGGATAAAATAACTTACATTATTGATTTCACAAACCTATCTATGACATTCTTAGAGCATACAACACCAATAAACAATGCCTTCATTTGATATATGAGATGTGGGATTTTATGATTAAGAATGTGTAGTCTGAAATTTAAAAAAAGAAAAATTATTCTCTTTCGAACTTCAATCCTTTTTAACATGTTGTTTATGAGATTCTTATAGTTCATTAGAGAAAAAGTTATACTCCTCTTCATTGTCTAGCTCACTCATTAAAAGGTATATAATCTTGTTAATTTTAAATTTTATATTCTCAAATATTAGTTTATTGATATATATATATATAATACTTTTAATAAGTTGAAGGTTTTATAGCGATGATTGACTAATCGAGAACTCTAATAGAATTGCTCCTCATAGAGATGTAGATATATCTCGAGAGAGGATGAAATGCTTTCGTAGATTATTTCCAAATGATGATGAATATGCTCATTTCTCACTTAAGAGTGGGCCTTTTGAAGATTTAATTTCTCTTATAAAGAGGTATTCTTTAGATTTGACAAGTTGGTGGACTAACTTTGGTGTCGAAGCTCCATTGCTTTAATCTTTTGCTTTTAAATTTCTTGGACAACCTACTTCATCATCTTGTTGTGAAATAAATTGGAGTACTTATTCCTTCATCCACTCACTTAGGAGGAACAAGTTAAATCCAAGTTGTATTGAAGATTTGGTTTATGTCCACTACAATCTTCGTCTATTATCAAGGAATTCTACTCAATACGAAGATGATAAAACCTAGATGTGAAATGCTAGTGGAGATGTATTTGATTCTTTTGGAGATGTGGGATATTTAAAGTTTACGAAACTCTCACTTGATGAATCATATTTAGAGAGCGAGTTAATATCAGAAGATGTTAACAATGATTGATTTAATGTTGTTTTAGAATTAGTTTGTTTTTTAAGATTTGGTACTCTAATATTTTAGTTTCATATGATTTTTTTTATTTTTTTTGAACTTTAATGAATATTTATGATATTTTTATGTCTATTAAAAATTTTAAAATTTATTTTAAATTTATCATACTATTATCGTATTTGTCCCTATAACTTTTAAAAATTACCGTTTCCCGTATATATACTTTTAAAAATTATTGTTTCTTGTCCCTGTATCGGTGGAACATATCCCAACACAAGGTCAAACGTATCTTGGAGGCCTCCCTCTCATCCGTTCGTGAAAGTCAACTTCGATTCAAGGAAAATACAATCGAATCAACATGCTTGGTCAGGAGTGATTATAAGAGATGCAGAGGGTCTCATTTTGGGAGCATGTAGGCGTTGGATTGAAAAGGTTACTTTAGCCTTCGCATCGGAAGCTTGGGCGGCTCTGCATGCTATGGAGTTTGCCTGAGATTTGGGTTTCACGAGAGTCATCTTTGAAGGAGACGCTCGGTCGGTGATTTTGAAGATTGTATCCGAGGAACCTAACAAATAAAAAATAAGTCTGATTACATGAGAGGTAAAGCAACTAATGGCTTTAATGGAAGCTTGTGAGTTTCAATATATTCCAAGGGTGGGAAACAAAGCCGCTCATACCTTAGTTGCTGAAACTGAGCTGGGCAACTTAGATCGGTACTGTATCGAGGAGGCGCCTCCGTGAGTTATGTTTCAGGTAGCCGAAGACAGAAGGTTTTTGGATCCCCTTAATTGATCCGTCGGGTTGGGGGTTTTGCATGTTATGATCCATCTTTGCGTCGTGTTTTTCTTGCCGGGCCATCTTCATCTTCACTGTTTTCATCTTTTCGAGCAAGGAGGAAGGATAGTCGCCTCAAGTGTCTTTAGTTTTTTTTTCTTTAAACAGTTTGGTGTTTTGTTCTTCAGACTTGCTGTGTTATAATGGGTTCCAGCTAACAGTCTTTTCGGCTACAGCATAACGTATTAAAATAAAAACTCTATAACTTACTAAAGTATATAGATACTTCGATTATGACTCATTACATTCAATTTAAAGGATCACATCATTAAATAATAAAAAGTAACTTTCCACGTATAAAAAATTTATTGTTATAATTGATAATTTTGACCTATTAATATTGAGTTCACGAAATTATTATTTAATTTGATCATAAAAATGAATAATTAAAATCTATCTAACACGAATTTAAATTGATATAAATTCGAAATTTACCTAAATTTAAAATGATAGTTCCGTAATAAGTTGAAAACTTTAACCCAAATAACCTCAACCTAAAATACCAGCTTATTGCTTAAGGCGTTGTCCCCCCCCCCCCCCCAAACAAAAAAAAATTAACTCTCCTTAGTCCTTCGCCGTTTTCATGTGAAATGCGTTTTACTGTTATTTGATCAGTTAATGTAACATAGATATTCAATCAACCTTGATTGATTGATTGTAGGCAAGAAAAATCCTACTGTAAGAGAGATCAAATTTGCCTGTTTTTTTATCGTTGGTGTATCATTCCCCAGCTTTTCATGCATTACTATTTGGACGGCTAGAAAAATTTTCAAGAAAAAGAAATATCAGCTCGATTACCTTTTTGACAACTAGTAATTGGATCAAATGGTAGGCAATTCAAGGTTCTATGTAATAAAAGCAAAGGCTATTCATTGATTTCAAAGCTACCAAAACATAAACCAACCACAAATGTTTGTCAAAGGCGGGTGTGAGTCCAGCTAAAGGTTCAAACATAAAACAAATGAAACCAAAAGGAAAGGGAAAGAAATTAGTCTCAGAGACTTAGCCTAACTAAGGTCACAAAAAATGGTGGTTTCCTTGTTTGGCAAAGTCAATACCCGAACCAAGCTATTTACCCTTGCAAGGATCATGAAAGGTGCGTTCTTGACTTCTTTTCATCAGAGGCTACCACCATTTCTCGGTCAAGCATTATCACACATGACCGCCGCCTTGATCCTTTCCACTGAGACTATTGATGGTAGCCACTGATCCGAGAGACAGTTTTGCCGTAGGGATCGAATCAACTAGAATCTGGAATGCGACGGTGAGGAGGGAGCCGCCGGAGCCGATTTCCACAATTCCTTCTCCATTAAGTCCCGGACCGTCAGGAAGTATTGCAAAACCCGACGGTAGAAGCGCGACATAATCAGGATCCCCGCCGCCTAAGACGATGTTCATAGCAACGATATCGACCGGGGAATAAATCACGTATGATCCCGTAGCATCACTGCAGCTCTCTTGTAGTATTAACATGTTGGTTTGGTTTGAATTTCCACTCTGCAAAAATTTGTTTAAAATTGGAAAATGTTAGCTTAATTACAAGGATTATGCAAATAGCTAAAGAGCTTACATTTACGCGCAGTAAGGAGACACAGTTGCCTGGGTCACGTCCATTAGCTATATGAGCCATTTCTTCAACTACACCACCATTTGAGAGGATATCCCACTATACATTCAAGTGAAGCATCTAGGGTTTCGGATTTATGGAAACTATGCAAATGCTTTGATCGAAAGCTTCGATGATCATGTTCGCTTACCTCGCTTCGAGAGTTCTCATCCCTAAGGAAATCGAAAGCCCTCTTCGGTGGAACCGGGATCCAGAAGGAAGTTGCAGCACTTAGAACAATACCAAGTGGCCTGCCTGGATCATCCATACTCTTCCTGGTCATTACCCTCACATCATCGGAACCAGTTGCTGATAAAGTTGTCCAAGCATGGGCTGTTGAAGCACCGACTCCGGTGCAAAAGCTAGTCACCATCCTCTCTGCCAACTTCAACATACTCTTCCTTCCTTCTGTACTAGTTATAACTGCAGAACATGTAACATAACACAGAATGAAGTGCACTAAACAGGCAACTGAACTTGTAAGAGAAAGGGGTTATGTTTGCTTTTACCGCATAGATCCCCAGCCGGAATGTTACTGGCCATCGAACTCGCAAGACGTTCGCATTGTCGATCTAATGTAGCAACCCATCGGTTTGCCCCAAAAGCTAAACCAGAATTGACTAATGGTCTGTATATGTTGTGGACAGCTCTATCATCCACTTCTACATGTTCAACCCATATAACCTAAAGTATATCATGAAAACATGTGATGATTAACTGAAGGTTTTGGTTGCTATAAACAGAGAATTTACACTAAAAATGTAGCTTTACCTTTGAGTATCCATTTGGTAATTCTTGGATCAAACAACCCGATGGTCTTCTTCCACATTTGGAGATCCGACTCGGTCGTAAATTATCCAAGGAAACATCGACCACTGCCCAAGTTCCGTCGATGTGCTGCTTGCAGTACCTCACAAAATAATTCTCCCGAGTCGGTACGAGTGGTGAAGGAACTTGAAACTCAGCTGTCATCTGAAAATGCAGAACACTAGATAGATCATCAGTATCTCTTATAGTATCTTTCCAATTACTACTAGAATTTCATGTATGACATATTATTGGATTGAATGTATAGTATCTAATTAGTACCACTTGCAAGGCTCCATTGTAGTTTCCTGCTACACCGGTTGATAGGACTTCTAAAGTCATAGCCCTTGAAACAATGCCGCAAAACACACTAGACCATTGATTCTGCAAATCCATAATTTGAAATCAGAAACAATTAAGTGAAGCTGAACATTTATGTAAAAGATTTATATTTGATGCACAAACAGTTCATCGAATAATCTCCAACTTAAAAAAAAAGAAAAGCTTACCACATCCATGAGAATCTCAACAAGGTTAACATGATTCATAATAATAACAGCAGAATCCCTTGAAGCTTCAGATCTCAACCCCAAAGGCTTTGGTCCAATACCCCTAGTGAAAGTCCTCAAGTATTCTTCTTCATTCAAAGCATCCAAAGAATTCTCCCCAGGAACCCACAAAGGTTCACCAGATCGAGCCATTCTCATCAGTTCTTCCATTGCAGCAACTGCAAGCTCAACAATCATAGGCTTATCAGTTTCAGTAGGCCAAATGACTGACCTCAAAAGATCTCCAACAGCAACACCACACATCTCTCCTGCAAACCCAGATTGTGTTTCAAAATTGAAAGCTCCACCAGGAAGGTGAGGAAAAGAAGTACTCATAGGCTTCCCTACATATTTAGCTGATGAACAAGTTATCCTATCAACCTGCAACAAAAATGTCACGATTTTCAGCATCAAACTATGAATAAATTGTATGTGTAATGTTTTCCTATTTACCTCTTCTCTTAACCGGGCATTCTCAATTCTCAAGTGCTGCTCATCAAATGACATCTCTCCAAGAGCAGCTAGTCCTTCACAGTTGGGGCATTTAGCATTGCTTAGTGCATCCTTGTATCTATTGTTCTCGGCACGGAGCTTCTCGTTCTCAGCTTTCAACACAGCATTTTCATGGCGTTCATGCTGAGCCTTCATCTGGGTGCGTTTGTTTTGGAACCAAAACTTGACTTGTAAAGGCTCTAACCCTAACTCGCACCCGAGCTCCTTCCTTTGCTTATCATCTGGGTGAGGGCACTCTTTAAAGAATCTGAGAAAAATAAACAAAAAAAAGGAACAAAAAACTTCTTTAATCTGTCTCGCATGATCGCATCACTGTTCATCTGCAAGTAAAAGAGGAAAAATGAAGATCTTACGCTTCCATCTCTTGGATTTGATGATGAGTATGGCGATGATAACGCTTCCTCTTGGGGCGTTGGCTAGGATCCTGATCATCTCGGGAAGGTGCATCCATTTCAGTACCCGATTTGGTGTCGCAATCATCGTCGATCCTCATCCTCCCCGTCAGTTCACTTTCGAACAAACTGGGACTCGTATCAAATATATTGGGGCTGAACATGGCTACAAATAGCTATGGATTTTCTGGGTTCTACCAAGGGAACATGCCAGTAAATTGAAAAGAAACTTTGGAACAGTGAGAATGAATGAATAAATAAAAGAAGCAGGCACAAATAAAGTCGAAACCAGTGAACTTTCTAGGGCAAGTAAACCACATACTATCTCTCTCTTAAGAAAAAGTTTAAGCTCGTTTATCGAGAAGGATATTCTTTTTTTCCTTTCTAATATCTTAATATATTCATTTAAGACCTATCTTAAGATATAATCAAAGCTCAAGTCTACCATTTGAGAACTAAACATACGAGTTTAGTAAGAAAAGCAGCAAAATGGGTGAAAATGGGGAAAGAAATTTACCTGATTGATTTTTGGTAAAGGAGACAGAACTTTTAGCAAAGGGTGTGCCTTTAAAACCCTAACCAGAACTACACAGATGACATATCTGTGGATTTTCTAAGGAGGTTTTGGGTTGATTTCAACAGTTTTTTTCCCTTAGAAAAGCTAATGGGATCGTTACAAGTTGCAAAATAACTGAAATGACTAAGGCATTTTAGTCATACCAAAAAGTGCCAAAAGATAGCAGAGTTAACAGTGAGAAAACCCTTTGACTCGCACGAACTTTCAGACCAAAAGATTGTAACGCTCAACTAAGTTGTCTAGTACTGGACTGTAAGAAACCCATTTTTTGTACTCCCTCTTTCTCAATAACGGGCAATTCTCTTCCTTTGTAGCTATAAAACATATATGAAACAGAAGAGAGAATGAGACCTAAACCCTTTCGAGCTTTGTTGAGAATGGAGTTTTTAAGTTTAGGGTCACTGTGAAAAACCCACCTTTGGGGGTTAAGAGATGAGTGGTTTTTGACTGAGACCTAAGCTACCAGACGAAGAAGACGAGAGAAATGAAGAGAAGAAAGAGTGGAAAATATGGTAGCTAAGTAGTTATTGCAGAGGGTATTGATTGGAGAGAGTGCAATAGCATTAATGGAGGGTGAAAAGAGGTGTAATTGCAAGAGAGAAAGAGAAAGATAATGCATTTTCTTCACTTTCATTTGTTTAAATTTAATTGCAAGAGTATTATATATACTAGTGATAACAGTTCGGTTTAGATCGGCCATATGAAGAAAATAAGATTAATATAATATTTTTTTTAATTTCATGTAACTGCAAAGTAGTATATATTAAAAAATATAACATATGTTCAAAAATAATTCTTTAACTATTTTAACATTAATCGTTCGTATCTTTGACATTTATATTGCTTAAATCTAAATTCTTAAAAAATAACAAAAAATTGCTTGACTCATAATATATATATATATATAGTCACCATTTTAAAATATATGAAATAAAAATCGAATACCATTTTGGTTTCATGTTTTTCACCTACTTATATTGTCATCTTCATCGATATTAATAGGGTTTTTTTTCATAATTGTCAGAATAAATATATTAGCTATGCAAACTAATAATCTAAAATGTTTTGCCCACTGGTTTTTTCATTAATAAATGTGTAATGTCTCACAAATAAATATATATACCAAAGGAATCAATTAGGTGAAAATTAATAACTTATGCATATAAATCCACTAATAATTAATCACTTCTTTTCTCCAATTAACTAATGATTATTTGTTATACCAAGAATATGTTTCAATAAATAAAATTACCAATTATGTATAAATGCATTTATTTTTTTACCAAGAAAATGAGTACTAGTATACATTTACAATAATACACACGCATATCGTGTATAACCGTTATGCACGCGCATATTCCTTTTATGAAATAAAAGTCATTATTTTTGTTAAATATAAAAAATATTAAAATTATAATGAAGTTACGCTTAATGTCGCGGGGTAAAACAACGACGGACGATATGAAGGATTTGAGGGACGCGTGGTGCAGAATTCACAAAAATGCCTAGTGACGCTCCAATCTAGTTTGTTGCCTTGTGTGGAATGGAGACCCCCGAAACCAAGCTGCCTTAAATTTAATGTCGATGACTTGCTGATTGTGATGGAGTTCTAAGAGATTATCAGGGGAGGAATGCGCTATATTTTATGGTCCGATTTCTGCAGATTGTTCTGACCATGAGGAATTGATTGCTATGAAAACAATCCTCCAATCGTTTATTGAATCCGAAGAAGGTGTTCATAATGAGTTGGTCATGGAACCAGATTCGCAAGTTGCAGTATCATGGGTTACTAAGCCGTCATTGAGACCATATATTTTGGAATTTCTTCACCAGCTTTGATAGGCTTTCACATCAGATTCCAGGTATTCACTTTGCTTTTGATGCTAGAAACCGCAACGCTATGGTTGATTTCTGATAAAAGATGAAAAGAAAAAAGATAGTATGTTCAAAGCCTTGTGATAGTCACTAATGTAATACTTCTCACTGTAGACAATGTAACTTTTGAATCCTTTCTTGGAACCATTTTGGCATGATTAGCTTTCAGTTAAGCAATGCTTTTTATAACAAAAATAATTTATTGTTGTGAAAAAAATAATAGCAAACTAAACACATAATAAGAATATCTTTTAGAATCATTAACACAAGAAACTAATTACTTAAGAATACACAAAAACCATACAAGAAAAATGTTAGAAATCCTAACCAAATAAATTTTAATAAAAGGTATATTCAGATATTGATAGCCACCGACAAACCGTAAATCAGAATCGAGCAACGTGAGAAAATTATTCACTAATAAAAATCGTGTATTCAAATCAAATTTAAGGGTCTAAAGTAAGTAAAATATTATGATAACAAATAAATGTTATCTTGATTAGTCATGTCAATGTTAAATCTAACATTGAGAAAAAAGATTAACAAAAATAACGGTCGAAAAAATAGAAAAAAAGTGTCATAAGGAGAAAAGAAAATGTGTCACAAAGACATAGTTATTCAAAAATAAAAAGGAAGAAAAAAAATATAATAAAAAAATAAATAATAAATACCGATAGTCGTCGATTAGCACTAAGACTGATGCAGTTATCATAAAAATGAAAAAAAAAGAAGATTAATTGTGACACAAGAAAAAAAAAGATACACGTGCGTATCTTATTTATACATATGTATTTTATTTGTACATATGTATTATTGATTATATTGACATCTGTTAAATAATTATATCTAGTTATAATTGTGAATTGATTTTTCATCCTAAAATTATAGTCGAGGAATTATACTTCATTCCTTTAAGAAACCAACCAACTTGTGTACTATGTGTGTAGATGTTAGATTTTTTTCCCTATGCTCCAAAATGAGCCTAACTACATAGATAGATTCTCTCTTCCCCATGCCTCCCAACCATCCATTAAATGAAGTGTGTATGAAACTACACCCATGCCTACCAAAATCTATGTAAGTTCTTTTTTGATTTATAGGATAACTTAATTTTGTCTATTATATTAATATGCATTATTCAACGGAGAAATAAGTGCATATAGAAAAGGGTAAATGTTTTTATCTAAACTTATAAATAATTAAATTTTTATTTTAGTATCAACCAAATATTTGATGTTGGATTAAAATTTATAATTGTGGGCACATATGTATAGTGTATAATGCTATCACAAAGTATGACATAAAATTAAGTGATCAATAATATTATATGTGTCATATGTATTATAGTGTCATGGAATTAAAGTGTAGATATCATAAGTTATATTTATAATTTGACGAGTGAAAAAATTATAAATACTTTATAGATTGACCTAATGTTCATCCTATATGAAGAGATAGTGATATCCAAGAAATAGGTTAACTCGTATAACTCTTATTTTGTCAGATAATTTTTATAGCAAGAGAAAACTTATATTTTTGGAAGATCACAACAATAATTTTTTTAAGATTTTAACTTATCGATTAATTCAAATACGCTTCTATATCTAATATTTTATTATAATTTGATTCTCGAATCTAAAACATCGTTAGAAAATTGGGTTTTAGTTCTTGTGGGTTTTGGATTACAGAATCTTCTCAAAGAGTGAGTTAATATAATGGTTTAGTATATATATTGTGTCTAAATAAATTATTTTCCATCATACTATATTATATACCATGACCTAATTTGTTTCGTAAATTAGTGACAATCATTTATACAATATTAAATGAAATTTGTGTTTTGCTTGTAAAAGACCAACACATTCAAATATTAGGAACGGGTTCATATTAATGACACGTACCAGTTTGTTGTCATGTCTTTAACTTTGATGTCATTTTTCAACTGTATATTAAGTTTTTGTTTATCAGTTATATTATCAATAATATGTATCACATTTTTATTTATCTAATTTCAAAACTAAATAAAAAATATAACTTAATTTCATCAATTTAAAATGTAACTAAACCATAATACTCCCAACACCATTAACGTAATTTTATCCATGTCAGTTTCTTAGTTAAAGGATGCTCATTTAGATAAAAATATTAGAACCAAACCATAAATAAATATAAAATTAAACCAGGATCAAATCATGTCAAGCCATCTAGAATAAAATAAATATTAGATTTGCGGAAGCGTATTTGAATTCATTGTTGGAGATTACCAAAAGGTTGAGATATTTGAATCTTTCTCTGGTTGTAATCTTCCAAGAAAATAGAATTCCATTTAGCATAAACTCTCTAATGGGATAAGAGATAATACAAGATATCTATTTCTTGGAGACCATATCCCCTTTATATAGCTGATTGAATCAGTTATTGTCTGTACTTATAACTCTGCCCCCAACTTTAATAGTATCTACACTTTTATTTCCATGATACTTCTAATACCTTATGACTTTATGACATAATTGATCACTTAATTTATTCATATTTTATGATAACAATATACATGATAAATATGTGCCCATGATTATAGATTTTAATCCAACAATCTCTTAATTGGACAACATATGTTTCCTGATAAATGTAGAACCTTATGAACTCAAAATTTGTTATCATGTAATAGGTATTCTATAACAATCTCGTCCATCAACTATAACCATATAGGATCAAAGCGGCCTTTGTCTTATCTATCATGACTAGACCCATCAATGGTCACGTATACAAACACAATTAAATGACATAAATCAATCA